TGTCATTATACTATTATGAACCCCGTAGCAGGCATTTTTTTTTTTTTTTTTTTTTTTTTGGGGGGGAAAAAAGCTCCAATCTATTTGTGGGGAGCAACACGTGCTGGGAACCGGGCCCAGCATCTCATATGGAAATTTACACAGAATTGACAATTTTTGAAGTTTTAAGATACCGGGGCTGTTACCCGGCTATGGCTAAGAAAAATTAGAACTACTAAGGAAGATTGCAACATCAAACTACAAGCCATCAACCCTCTTTACCTCCCTTCGGCAAGACTTACTGCTACAGAGCCACCATCTCCGCTGCTGCTGTACCCTAATTTCATCCTACTAGCTAGCTCTCCTCACTAATAGGACACTTGACATCCCACCATCTACTTATCCCACTCACCTCAATTTTGAGAAATTCGAGAAGATTTGAGAAAAATATAGAGAAAAATGGAGAAACGAAAATAAGAGCTAAGACCACCACCAATCCAAGTCAGACCCTCACTACAGCCAAGAAACCGCCACTCAAGCCTTCAGTCCCCGTACCAGAAGTCGCCAGTTCTCACGCCCCCCTTGCTAGGGTTACAAGGCAAAACAAACTGCCCCAACACCGAACTAACTGTCTTCTGACGGACAGGAAGTGTCTTCCTCCCTCAACAACTTCTTTAGCTGCCAACCCCCAACCGGGTTACAGGGTCACTGCCCCAGCCTCAGCTACGTTGAAAAAGGTGGTTATGCCTTTCACCCTCGGCATAGCTTCAATGGCCTCAAGCTCCTCTCCATGGTCACAGAGCCACTGCCCCAGCACCGGCCACTGTCGCCCCACCCCGTCCTTCTGGTAGACTTACCACCCTGAGTCACCCTTCCCCTACTGCGCGAGCCCCCCCCAAAATTACTTCCAAACCCTACTTCCGATTTTCTCCCTCCATACGAAAAAACGGAAAGGAGGAAGGTCAAGAACTACAACCACTAATAATCCAACTCCTACCTTCGTCACTAATGAAAGATACGTTGACCAAACTTTCAGTCCTCGTACCAGAAATCATTAGATCTTATACCCCCCAGCTAGGGTTACAAGGCAACACAAACCGCCCCAGTACTGATCTAACTGTTTCTGACGGATAGAGAGTGCCTTCCCCCCTCGACACCTCTCTTAATTATATAGCCCCTCCAAAAGGTTACAGGGTCACTGCCCCGGCAACAACTATGTCAGGCGAGATGGTTATGCCTTCCACCCTCGGCATAACTTCAATGGCCTCAAGCCCCCCTGGTCACAGAGCAAATGCACCAGCAGCAGCCACTGTCGTCCCACCCCACCCTCCTAGTTAGACTTACCACTCTATGTCGTCGATCCCTCTACCCACCACTTCCCACCAACCTCTAATTCAACCCTCCCGCTTTTACTTTACCAAAACATACGAAGATTAATTGTTTGGGAAAAAAAGTAGTTGAAAAGATTGCTTGAAAAATCAATCAGAATTAAACTGTAATTGACGACAAGATCCGATAGCAATTGATTATCCAAATTGGGATGACAAAATTTGTGAAAGATCGTACGAATTTAAGGATTAGATATCCATAACGGATTTTCGAATCAGAATCCCAAACCGTGGTTTGAGAAACGTTAGCAAAGCTGTATGGCACAAAAAAGATTAAGGAAGGAAAATTGTAGAAACGAATCTACAATCAATAGGGAAAAATCACTCAGACAGTAAACAGGAAATACTAAGCCGCCGACAAAACAACAGAAGGGACAGTAATTCAGAAAAACAAATCGACAATCAATTGAGAAAGGGAAACCAGAAATAAGATTTTCAACAATCAGAATTACCGGCTTACACGAAATGAACCAACCATCATACGCTGTCAGACGTTCTCAAGAGTTGGGTTTTCGAGAGTTTCGGGCCCCTCGCCACACAGCACTCTCGAATGGGGATGATGTTGGACAAATAATGCAAAACGACAGTCGTACAGCTTTGTTTTTTTCCGAATGGCCTCATAATAACGGCCTGACAGCTCTCAAAAATTGAGTCCTTCGAGTGCCCTCGGGAGGACGCTTGAAAAGAGTGGTGCTGCAGGGAAAAGAGCGGTGCTGCAGGGAGGACGCTTGAAAAGAGCGGTGCTGCAGGGAAAAGAGCGGTGCTGCAGGGAGGACGCTTGAAAAGAGCGGTGCTACAGGCTGGGCGTTTAGGAGTTTCGAGAGCTACTCTTGAAAAGAGGTTCTGACAACTCTCAAAAGAGTTTTCGCGAACTTTTCGGGCCACAACTCTCAAGAGGCTGTGTGGCGACGGCTCCAACTCTTGAAAACGGGGTTTCAAGAGTGGTGTGGCGAGGCCCATACTCGAATGGAATGCGGCACAATTTTTTCAATTCATGTGCTCTTTCGACTAGTTCTCAACGTGGCCCCAGGGCGGCCGCGAGATGTCCAGATCAGAGGGCGGGAACCGGTCCATTTCTCGATTTAGGGTCTCGCTGCACTACGCTATACTCGTGCAAAACCAAGAGTGCAGCACCGCCGTACCTACTCAAGAAATGGGCGCTCTTGAAAACGTTATAGAGCTGTCAGAAACAGCTCAAGAAATCTCAAGAAATCCGCAAGAGTTGTCGTCGCTGCACCTGCTCGAGAATTTTGCTCTAGTTACTAAATTTCATGAGCTGTCAGAAGGGGGGCGTGAATTTCGCTCTAGGCTGTTCTTGAGTACCAGCCTGCAAGGACCGTTTTTTTTAGGGAGCTCCAAAGGACCCACGGAGAGCCTGGAATTTCCTTGAGTGCACCTCGAGTCTGGGCAGACAACCCAGGCTGGCTCTGTCTGGTAGTGAAGCTTCCGAGCTCGTAGAAGCTCCTGAAAAATTGTCCGATCCCATAGTGCTACTCTAGAAGTTCAAGAGTCTAGAGCACATGCGGCCATGCGTGGGTTTCGGGACTTTTCTAGACTCTGACAGCTCTAGATCAGCTCGTGAAAAGTTGCACGAGTATAGAGTAGTGCAGCGAGACCCTTATGCGTGTCATCCTTGCGCAGGGGTCATGCTAATCTACTCTGTATCGTTCCAGTTTTAACGGATGTCCCGAAGGAACCGGTCCATACTGGAAACGCCCGCTACCGCTAGCCCACGCGTTTCGTTCGAAAACGTGTTTGGACCAAGCAAGCACCGCCGATCTTCAGGGCATACTCGCACTGGGACTTCTTCGCCTAAGCACTTACCGTGATCGCGGTCAGATTCGTCCATTTCTTGCCAGAATCGCAGTCAGATCCATTGTGTTGGGAATTTTCAGCGACAACCTGCGTTGCCTGTTTTTCGTTCTGTTTTCCTGCACGTCCCTCTTTTTCTTTCAGTTTTTCTGCACGTCCGTGCGATCCTTTGTGTTGGGCCTCGCTCCAGAACTCTCCACATGCACGGAAAGTGAAAGATATGGCGGGGTATCTTCCCGTTTCGCATGGGAAGATTCAGTCTCATTTTGCACATTTGGAGAGTACTGAAGCGAGGCCCATTGCTTCAGAAATGGACGATGAGGCCGGCTCCTTCCCACCGGGCGTCGGATACAAAAGACACACTCGAGCGCACGTCAGTTGGGGACTGAAGTGGACTGAAGTAACAGGTCTCCCTTGTCCCCAGCTTCGCCACGAGGAGGCCATCGTGAAGAGCCTTCCCCGTTCATCGACTGCTCATCCCTGCACTCCCCAGCTTGGAGGTTTGTTTCCTCCTCGCCTTCCCCGCTCCCGATTACCCTTTCCCTTCTCACTTCGTAAGCCACTCTCGTTCGTACACACACCTGCCCTCCGTACGAGTGTTTCTGAGCGCGCACGCGTCTCTCTCCTCCTCTCTCTCCGGACGGGCGTTGCTACTGATGCGTTTCGTTTATTGCTTCAACCAACCTGCCAAATGTGTGTATGTTCGTCGTTCTAAAATCCTCACTCACAGTGACTCACTTACTCAGTACCATCTCTCTCCCCCATTTCCCTCACGACCTCGCGCATGCTCATGCGGACTGTTGCGGGCGTGCTTTCTTAGGCGGCAAAGAGAGAGAGAGAGAGAGAGAGAGAGAGAGAGAGAGAGAGAGAGAGAGAGAGAGAGAGGTCGCTCTTCCGGTGTCCTTAATTTCTTTTCTTTTTGGACTCCATCATCGTAACTTGGCAGCACCATTCGTCTTGTGCATGTCTGCTGCAGAGCGACTTGTCATCGAGGATAAAGTACCGTCATTTTTGAATGAATGTATTATTATCTTTTTCTACTCCCCCCCGCCTGTTGAAGATGCTGCGAGCCTGCGGCTGCTCCTCCCCTTCGTTTTCGTCTCCCTCAGTTGTTTGTCATTCCTCTTCTTGTCCTCTCTTTCTCCTCCTCCCACCCTTGCTCTTGCTCCGTTTTCGTCGTCTTGTTTCTCTCGCTACGTGGGAGGGAGGAAAGAATCCTGAGGGAGGACGTGTAGTCTCTGTGGATCGCAAAGCATATGGCAAGATGTGCTTCTGAGATATGGGCATGGAGGATAACAATGTATCTCTTCTTTTTCTTTCTTGCGCGTAAATCAGAAAGACTCTCTCTTCTCGATTGCCTGCGCAGTAGCAACCATAGATTCTGCCATTGCCCACCCCTGTCCTCCTCCGTTCGTCCGTTCGCTCATCCGTTTGCTCGTTACTGAATATTGCTTGCAGTTATGTACTAATTTCATGCTCTAGTAGAAACGCTTTCAGCAGGAGAATCCCTGCTTTGTGAGACTTTTGCGTGCGGAGCTTAGGGCGAGGTCTTACAAGCAAGGAGGATTAGATCAAACGCCCGAATCTGGGCGTATTTTATGCAGAGATGCAGAAAAGCAGTTAATCGCGATTTTCTGCACCTCTCCACAAAGAAGAGCAGATTCAGGCGTTATATCCAATCGTAGTTGCCGGTGGGATCTCGCCCTTACTGCTTGTAATGAGGAGAAGCGTCTTCGAAAAGTCGGTTATAGCCACAGCTTGGCACTCTCAGCTTAGGGCGAGGTCCCACAAGCAAAGAGGATTGGATTAAACGCCCAAATGTGGACGTATTTTATACAGAGATGCAGAAAAACAGTGAATTGCGGTATTTTGCACCTCTGCACAAACAAGGGCAGATTCAGGCGTTAAATCCAATCTTCTTTGTTACTGGGATCTGGCCCTTATTGCTGTTGATCAAGAGAAGTGTCTGCGAAGTCAGTTATAGCCACAGCTTGGCACTGTCCTTCTCCTTCTTTCCCTGCTCTCTCCTCCTTGATAGTTGGGAGGCTTTTGCTTGCGTCCGTATATTGTCGAATCTTGGCGTTTCACGGTGACATGCGCTCTGTGTTTTTTGTCCCTTGCTCTTCAGCTTTCCATCCGTTTGCTATTCATTTCTTAAATCTTGTTTCCTTCCCGTTGTTTTGTTCGTTAAGACAACTGCACAGCGAAGACATTGTCGTGACAGGTAGTTTCGTTTCGACTATCCTTTATGTAGATCGATCTGGATTCGAACGCTTGGTGTGTATATGAAAGAGTTCATGGGTGTGCGAACTGAGTTATGCCCATGTGTTTCGTTCGACTTTCATCTGAATTCGAGCTCATATCAGGAGTTCTTTTTCTTGTGCGCGTGTCTCGCTCTTCTGTTGGCAGGTACGGTCTCCACTGAGGCTGCCTCTTCGAGGTTTCTTGAGCGTCCGCCGGTCTTCCGGGGGGGACCGAAACTGGTCCTCCTTCAGAATCTTTGTTCGGCGGATCTGTCGTCTGCAATCGGGCAGATCGGGCACGTCCGCAGTGTCTAGATTGCTCCCAAGAAGTAGGTTTGGCACTTCCGGGCGCGGGTGTTGGAGCGTGAGCAGCCATGAAGGGCATAGCGGGAGCTTTCACTTCGACATTGTCGACTGCCGCCGGCACCGCTTTAACGGCGGGATCTTTGGTCGCAGGAGCGGGGGCGAAAGTGCAGGGAATAATCCTTCCCTCAGCCAAGAAGCATGGAGTGAAGCGGGCCAAGGTTCGAATCACGATGGGAGACAACGTGAACGACGGCATGCTCGGCAAAGCGAGGATCGTCATCGTCGGGGAYGGCAAGGAGATTCCGGACGGCCCTCGCGCCCCCGCAGGTTCGACGGKCGACAAGGACGGCTTCGATCTTGGGTACGTGATGTGGAAGTACGGCAGCACGGTGTCGGCGACCATCGACGACCTGCCCGAGAACGTRAATCCGACGGTGATCCTGCTTTACAACGACTCKAGCAACGGCAAGTGGTACGTGAAGAAGGTGGAGATCGAGACGACATCTTACGCAGCCGACGGCGGAGGCGAGAACGGCACGGTGAAGAAGTACGTGTTCCCCTGTTTCTCGTTCGTCCCGAACTCAAGCGGAGGGCGCGTCATCTTCGAGGGCAACTCCCGGCTCCCGTGGCAGACTCCTGCGAGGATCAACGAGCTGTACCGCGTGGCGGCGCTCCAGAAGCAGCAGGAGGTCTACAAGTTCGACGTGTACAACGATCTGAGCAGTCCAGCGAACCTTGTCGATCGCGGCAGCGCGAACTTCCGACCCACGCTCCACCCGTATCCGAAGCGACAGTCGTCGAGCATCTCCGGCAAGAGCGTAGGCATTCCCATCGACGACGACTTCGACTTCTCGAAGACGTACGACTTCATATCCGAGGCAGTGAAAGCCACGGCGAAGTCGCTGATCGCGGATCCTCTGACGTTTCAGAGTAACCGGCCGTGGAAGAGTGTGAGCGCGATGACCAGTGCGCTCTTCGGAGGGCTCATGGGCCTGCGCAAGCCCGCCGTGCTGAGCTCGGGAGTCGACTGGAAGTCCGACAAGGAGTTCGGCAGGCAGACGCTCGCGGGGGTTAACCCCATGGAGATACAACTACTCCGCGCCTTGCCCCAAGGTTTCAGCGTCTCCGACGCCGACCTGGGGAATGCGCTGCCGGCCGGACTCACTCTCGCCGCCGCGCTGGGCGCTGAACGCGTCTTCATCCTGGACTACAGCTTGCTCGAGACGTTCAGGCCCATCGTCAACCGCCCTCCTGCGGATGGAAAGCCGTCCAAGTACCTCTATGCTCCGCGCTGCCTGCTGCTGCGCGACGATGAGGGGAACGTGATCCCCATTGCCGTGGAGCTGGAGAGAGGGGGGAAGGTGTACACGCGCGCGAGAGACACGAGCGTCGGGAACTGGCAGTGGACTCTGGCCAAGGCCTACGTGGCGACGGCGGACAGCATCGTCCACCAGGTGACCAGACACTGGCTCGAGTGCCACGCCATCGGGGAGGTRTACCTGGTTTCTCTCCGCAGGAGAGTGTCGGAATGGCATCCCCTCTTCAAGCTGCTCATCCCCCATTTCCGGTTCACGATGAGCATCAACTACAGGGCGCGCACGAATCTGATCAACGCCGACGGGATCATCGAGTCCAACTTCACCCTGGGGCCCAAGTGCATGGCGCTTTCCCAGGAGATGTTCAAGTCCTGGACGTTCCGGTGCCAGGCCCTGCCGGACAACTTGAAGAAGAGGGGAGTTTACGACAAGGCCGTCCTCCCCTACTTTCCTTACCGAGACGCAGGGATGCTGATCTGGAACGCGATCTGCAAGTACGTGCGCGCTTACCTGAAGATTTACTACGGGGAAGGGGCGGCGGCCAGCGCTGCCATCGCCCAGGACGCCGAACTCGCGGCCTGGTGGGAAGATGTCAAGTATGGCAACTCCAAATCGGAGTTCGCGGCAGATGAGCGSGAGGAGTGGCCGGCTATGGAGACTCTGGAGGATCTGGTGTTCGTCTGCACCACGATGATATGGAACGCCAGCGCGCAGCACTCGGCCATCAACTTCAGCCAGTACGACTTCTCAGCGTTCGCACCGAATCATCCGACGTACCTGAGGAGGCCAATGCCAGAGGAAGTCGATGAGAAGACCTTCATGGAGACCCTGCCTCTGCCGCGCGACCAGCTCTCGGCGCTGGTCGTCGTGGATTTGCTGTCCAGGTTCTCGGACGACGAGGAATACATCGGCAGGCTGGATCAGAGCGCATTCGGGTGGCTCGTGGATCCTGCAGCTCAGCAGGCGTACAAGCAGTTCGCCGACGATCTCGACGACGTGCAGGAAGCCGTCAAGCGGATGAACGAAGACAACAAGGCCAAGGGTCGCCTGCCGTACATCTATTTGTTTCCTCGGACCAATCGCGACGAATTCTACGCATTCCAAAGCACTCCCAACGGCAATCAGGGCATCCCGAACAGCGTGTCCATCTAGGTAGGTAGGTCATCAAACGTGAGTGACTCCACAAGTCGTTTCGTTTGTGGGTGTTTCTTCAAAACAACTTTTTTTTTCAGTTCGTTTTCGTGACGTCGACAGAATTGTTACGGACTTGGTAGTTTTTTAATGTCGTTTCGTTTGTTTTTTTAAGGTCGGTTTAGGCACCTGCCCGGAGGGAATCTCTCGCGGTAGCTATCGCAATAAGGAAAAAGTAGTTTTTTTAACGGATATGGAGCGAGGGAGGTGGGCTGGGTGGGCGAGAAAGGAGGAGTTTCTTGCTGACGGTTAAAAGTTTATTAGAGAGAAAGAGGTGTGTTGCATCGTGAGTTGGGATGCCATGCTTGTGCGTTGCTTTCCTGATAGGTAGATCATTGTAAGAAGGAGATTCTTCGGTATAGAAATCAGAGAGGAGGGAGAACCGGAGAGGGTACAGGACTGCAGGAGTAATGCTTGGCATTTGTCGTGAATCTATTTATGTTCGATACGCATCCGTCGGGCGCTTCGATCGTTTTTCTTCAGTTGTTATCACGATGGCGGTTTGCCTTGCCCGATGCTCTTCTCATTGTATGATGCTGGGAGTCTCAAGTTGCTGGCTGGCAAGAGATTACACAGATCGATGATGGCCGGCTTGGAAATCGATCTTGTGCACGACCGGATAATTCTTGTTGAAAGCTCAACTTCGAGATCCTCTTTGTGGTTGGTAGGTTAGGGTTTAGGGTTCATCATACTCCGCCGATTATTCGTAGGGAGTCGTGAGATGATTTGGCCTTTTTGGACGTCCCACCTTTTCTTTCGCCTGTCTTCGGAAGGCACAGAGTGTTATGGCGGTTTTGGTGACGGCCACAAATGGGGCACAACAAAGGGTTCTTTACAGAACAAGTGCTCTAAGACTCCCCCCCCCCCAATCTAGTTGAACTAGAAATCAAGTCTTCCCGGCTCTTTTTATTATTATTGCTCCAGCCATTTCATTTGGTTTAGACTCTGCTCAAACGTCCCATTTCAAGGTCGTTTTCTGCGTGGAAGAGTGTCCGTTGCAACCGGAGGGCATTTTCGGGACGGAATCTTGGAGCCTGGTGAAAGGATGTGGGATTCGAACCTTTGGCAGTTTTTTATCAGGCGTTTTTTACTTCACGTAATTGCCCGAATTTCTTTGGTGGTTGGTTTCGCACGTTGAGACCCTTCCATCATGTGGGCGCTTTTGGAAGGTTTTCTGACACGTTTTTCAATAGTGAGCGGCTGCTGCATGAAGGGCGAATTGTCCCAAGGGCGACTTTTGAGGATATATTTTGTTGCCTCCTTTTTCCCAAGGTCCATTTTTTGTGGATTTATCTTGTTGTGTCCTTTTTTCCAAAGGCGAATTTGGAACTTTGAAGACTATACGAAAGGCAGATGTAAGGACTTGGCTTTGACTTTTTTGAAGGAACTAAAACAGCACGCAATGGCGCTTCTACTTTCTTCCAGACTCGGTGCATCCCACCTCGAACTGCTCCCGTTACAACATCTCGGTTTTGCCCAACAAGGCCGCTCTCTGTTTTTGATTAAAGATGCCTTGCTGAGACCTGTGTCGACTCTTGAAATTCTGCTTTCAGAATACGGAAAATGCATGGGGATTGTGCGCGCTTTAGTAAGAGCGCTAGGAATTTGGCTCGGCAGTTAAAAATTCCGAAATAAATGGAACCCGACGTGTCCTTTTTGTGGATGAATGTTCTCGGTCATGTCGCGGAAAACTTTGGGAATTTGGTGGGAATACGAAGGGATGTAGGACTGCCTTTTCCCGCGCCTGCTTTACGTGCGGATATGGTGATTTCAATTTTTGAGTTAGCATAGGATTTAGGAATCTGTAACTGTTTTGGTGCCTCTTTTTGCATTTGTGATCGGCGCCATGCAAGCGAGCTTCCCCCTTTTTGCTCCCCTCGCTATCTTCGACGTTCCCTTCGCGCCTGCGCTCACTCTCCTGCCGTAACCGTTTTTTCCTCTCTCTCCTCTCCCCGTGCGCCTTTTCTCTTTCTTGATCGTCTGAATCTTGGATCCATTTTGTGCTATCCAGCGCACTCTTCTTCCACCCACTCTGAGTCCTACGCCCAAGAGCCCAGTCGATCCTCTCTTCAGTACCGCCCAGCCAAGGAGAGGCACTGTGTAAGGAGATATTCCTATCATGCGGCGACTCTGATTGGCTGTGATCGGACTCAGCAGGATCGACATGGCTTTCGCCGAGCGATTATCCTCAAGTCCTCTCTCACCCTTCCCAGACTCAACTTTCATCCTCCCTCGTACCTACCTCCCTTCCCGCAACTATAAATTCTGCAAGCGTGCCTGCAAATCTCTCTCTCAACTCGTCTGCCACCTTCCGGGAAGCAGTGGCTAGATGGTATGTGTGGAGTGCGAGTCGAAAAGTCCCGACGAGCTGACTGTAACCTGGTTGGCGGTGCGCCTGATCGCCACGACGGACTGTGGGATCCGGGCAGGCCGTGTCGAGACTAAGTCGGCGGGGTGACGATCGCAGTGGTGGAAAGTGGCAAGTGATGGTCGGGATCGTTAGTGCATGCATGGGGATAGTGATAAGAGTTGAATGGATGAATGGCCCGGGGCCATAGTGGAACTTCACGCGGATTTTTCTTGTCTCAAGTCTATTCTTTGGTGTGAGTGCAGTTCACGGCAGTTAAGCCGGGAATTCTTTTCATCTTCGGATTTTTGCGTGGTGTTCATCTATCTTGTTGCTCTCATCCATTTCGCACTTCTTCTCGCCATCTACTTTGTGGCATGAATGACTATGTATGCTTGTCATGAAATGGTTGTCTGATGGGCTTGCATTTGATTAGCCATGGGATGACGAAGCAGGGGTGCAGAGCACACAGAGAACTGAATGATGCATGGCTGTCGTTTTTGCACCTTTCGCGATAAGGGACCGCAAGTGCAGATGGAAATACTCGGATGATGAAATTGTCGTTTGATGGGCTGGTCTTTGATTAGGCCGAAGAGTTGTCACGAATGGAATGTATGAACATGGTCGAGTCGTCGGCAGGGACAAGGATTGTTGGGATTTGGTCAAGGATGCAAGAGTGTTTAGATCTGTCGGTGATGTGATTGTGGGAGAGTACCCCGAGATCTTGTAACCCGGAACACACTGCGCCCGCCATCTGCCTTATGCTGCACGACATTTGCAGCTTGCCCTTTATACGCAAAACCCGAGAGGTGGCAGAAATAAAAGGCGCCACGTGCGACCTGCACACGTGGATCAATTGCCGTGTCTTGCCGAATGTGAGTTCTGTCCCCACGATTTCTCTATGAGGACTTCCTAACGAGACCGCTAGATCATCGCGAATACTCTCTCTCTCTTTTTTTTTTTTAACAAAAAAAAAAAACCTGCAATGCTAGCGGTGCTGACGAAATCAGACACCGCTAGCACCTGGGGAGGGGCTCCGCCTATTGGTGGGGAGCATCACCTGCTGGAAAGCGGGTCCAACGTCCCTTTACGACACGAATACAGAATGCATACAGAGTGAGGAAGCCTGCCAGCATTGATTACTCTGGCATCCTGTGACGAACCACTTCCCGACCCCGTGCTATCTTTTGTACCCCTTGTCTCAACCCCCCGCTTGTTTTTTTGTATCATACCAATCCAACAAAACCCCCGTCGCTTTTCTTGATTTCAGGTGCCTTGTTTAGGCCCCCATTTTTTTGGAGGTTCTATTGATTCTTGGAATTCTGCTTTTTGTAATTCGGGAAATGCATGGGAAATTACGTACGGCTTAGCGCTATGTAACACCCGAGGACGCGTCCGCGAGTCCAATCTCGGATGGCGGACGCAGACGGGTCCACATCCGCGGCCTACGTGGTCCGTGCCGCGAACCCGATTTTACCAGAATTTTCCTGAATTAAATAATAGGCTAAAAATATATATATATATGGGGTTGTAGGGAATTTTAAGCCCTACAACCCCATTTTTTTTTTTTGGAATCCGACTTTGTTTTGGATTTTTGAAAAAGCAAAAACTAAATTCGATTTAAAAAAAAAAATAAAAACAAAAAAATAAAGAAAAGTTGGATTTTTTTTTTGTCATTTTTATCATCAGATATATGGTCCCTGAGGTCACCTGTATTTTTTGGAAATGAATTTCTGTTTTTTGCAGGGGTAGGAGGTGTTTTAGAAAAATA